TGGGTACCTGCAGTGTCCCAGCTCCAAGGAACATACCTGGATTAGTTCCACCTTCTCTTCCTGACCTCTCCTGTGACCCTGTTCAAAGCATCATATCTTTAGGGCTTCCCTAGTCTCCCTGCACACTGGTGGTCATCCTAGCATCTGTTTCCGAATGACATCATCAGGCATGTGTGAGAAACATTGTGGGCTGCTGTCACATGTAGGTAATGCACAAAGTTGGAGGTGAAATAGTGGAAGGTTTTGGATGTGGCAAAGAATATAGCTAAAAATAAGTCTGGGCTCCTATGTTGTGACCTTGGAAATGTTGCTTCCCTTCTTGGCCTTCTCCTGTTTGCATCATGAGAAGGTGGAAATTCAGTTAATTCAGATATCTTCATGGTCCATAAGCCTTCTGAATGCTTCCCATTATAGATTCAGATCTAAGGACCTCAACTTGGCCTTTGTGGCTGGACCTAGTGCTTAATAGCTCCCAGTTACCCTCACCCTGGTGTGCACATCCTAAGCAATCCCCTCCCTTTGAGTGCTTGAGTGTGGACTGGATTTAGTTGTTCACTCCTTAGCTATGGAACATGACCAATGGCATATGATGTCACTTCACCATGATTTACTTAACATTTTTGCTCTGTCTCTATTATTTTCTTCTCTGCCTCCCTTGGAACTCTGGCTCTGGGGAAGCTGCTGTTCTCTCATGGTGCCCAAAGAGAGACTTATGAGTCTTAGGACAAAGAGAGCAACCCATGAGGAGATATTAGGTCTCTGTCCTGAGTCCTTCCAGTAACCATGGGACTCAGTGTGGAAGCAGATCTTGCAGTAACTGAACCTCAGGTGAGTCTGTAGACCAGGCCTCCTGAGAGACATCAGGAGCCTCCAGCTGAGTCCTAAATTTCTGTTTCATAGAACTGTGAGACCATAAATGTTTGTGTTGCATCCTTTAAGTTTGGGATAGCATTTTCCCAGAGTAGTGTGTCAGTGGTATAGTCTAGAAGGCCCTAGAATTTGTCCTTCCATCCCACTCCTCCTGGGCTTTGTTCAGCCCCACTGGTTGCTCTTGTAACTTCCTTTCTGACTGAACTCACTTTTGACTTTGACTTCCTGAACAGTTGATCCTTCCCTCTGGCACACTGTGCCCAGGGTTGTGCAGGGCTGCATCCCTCTCAAGTCTATGCTTGAGTGATTTCAAGGCCTCCGTTTTATGAAGGAGCCAAGGACACAAAGGAGCAGGACACCAGTGTCCAGGGGCATTAGGAGGGACTGCAGGAGCTGCCCTTTCCCCTGCTTACAAGTCTTTTTCACTATGGCCACTTCCAGGGTCTTACCCTCCAACAAGGTGGTCCTTGACTTGTCCAAGGATGAGTGGGTCAGTGCTCTGCTACCTTGTGTCCTTGCCAAGTTTTTGGCTGGCTCTGTAGGACTTCCAGGAGGCTGACAGCATTTGGCAAGGACCTGTGTGCACCAGGGGCTAGAGGTTGGTGAGCCTTGTGATCCTTGGAGTGAGCAGCGGCAAACTCCATGTTATGTCAGGAAGGACACTGTGGCTTCTCATGGATCCCCTCCACAATAGGCAGGTGTTCCTAGAGAAACATTCCCATGCTGGTGGTAGAGGAGCCAGGAACAGGCATACCCCTTGTTTTCTTTAGGGATTTCCCAGCCCTGAAATCCTGCCATCTCTCCTCCTTCCACACTGTGGATCCTGGATATGCTAACTGGATATGGCTAGTCATGTCCCCTGGAGGTACTGCCTCTAGCATCTTTCTCCTTTTCCTTTGTTACTTCCCAGGGTCCATCCCCACTGTTGAATACCACTTTGGCCCCCAGTTGTGGTGTTATTTTGTGTATGTGTGTGTGTGTGTGTGTGTATGTGTATGTGTGTGTGTGAGTGTGCACACACATTTCTTCATACATCCTTGGAATGTTTGCGGTTCTCTTTTTTTATTTTTTATTTATTTTTTTATGCCTATTTTTTAAATTTTATAAAAATTGAATCATACTACTTTTTTTAAAATTTTTTTATTGTTGGTTGTTCAAAACATTACATAGTTCTTGATATATCATATTTCATACTTTGATTCAAGTGGGTTATGAACTCCCATTTTTTCCCCGTATACAAATTGCAGAATCACATCAGTTACACATCCATTGATTTACATATTGCCATACTAGTGTCTGTTGTATTCTGCTGCCTTTCCTATCCTCTACTATCCTCCCTCCCCTCCCCTCCCCTCCCCTCTTCTCTCTCTACCCCCTCTACTGTCATTCATTTCTCCCCCTTGTATTATTTTCCCCTTTCCCCTCACTTCCTCTTGTATGAATTTTTGTATAACCCTGAGGGTCTCCTTCCGTTTCCATGCAATTTCCCTTCTCTCTCCCTTTCCCTCCCACCTCTCATCCCAGTTTAATGTTAATCTTCTTCTCATGCTCTTCGTCCCTACTCTGTTCTTAGTTACTCTCCTTATATCAAAGAAGACATTTGGCATTTGTTTTTTAGGGATTGGCTAGCTTCACTTAACATAATCTGCTCTAATGCCTTCCATTTCCCTGCAAATTCTATGATTTTGTTATTTTTTAATGCAGAGTAATACTCCATTGTGTATAAATGCCACATTTTTTTTATCCATTCGTCTATTGAAGGGCATCTAGGTTGGTTCCACAGTCTTGCTATTGTGAATTGTGCTGCTATGAACATCGATGTAGCAGTGTCCCTGTAGCATGCTCTTTTTAGGTCTTTAGGGAATAGACCTAGAAGGGGAATAGCTGGGTCAAATGGTGGTTCCATTCCCAGCTTTCCAAGAAATCTCCATACTGCTTTCCAAATTGGCTGCACCAATTTGCAGTCCCACCAGCAATGTACAAGTGTACTCTTTTCCCCACATCCTCGCCAGCACTTGTTGTTGTTTGACTTCCTAATGGCTGCCAATCTTACTGGAGTGAGATGGTATCTTAGGGTGGTTTTGATTTGCATTTCTCTGACAGCTAGAGATGGTGAGCATTTTTTCATGTACTTGTTGATTGATTGTATGTCCTCCTCTGAGAAGTGTCTGTTCAGGTCCTTGGCCGATTTGTTGATTGGGTTGTTTGTTCTCTTATTGTCTAATTTTTTGAGTTCTTTGTATACTCTGGATATTAGGGCTCTATCTGAGGTGTGAGGAGTAAAGATTTGTTCCCAGGATGTAGGCTCTCTATTTACCTCTCTTATTGTTTCTTTTGCTGAGAAAAAACTTTTTAGTTTGAGTAAGTCCCATTTGTTGATTCTAGTTATTAACTTTTGTGCTATGGGTGTCCTATTGAGGAATTTGGAGCCCGACCCCACAGTATGTAGATCGTAGCCAACTTTTTCTTCTATCAGACGGCGTGTCTCTGATTTGATATCAAGCTCCTTGATCCATTTTGAATTCACTTTTGTGCATGGCGAGAGAAAGGGATTCAGTTTCATTTTGTTGCATATGGATTTCCAGTTTTCCCAGCACCATTTGTTGAAGATGCTATCCTTCCTCCATTGCATGCTTTTAGCCCCTTTATCAAATATAAGATAGTTGTAGTTTTGTGGATTGGTTTCTGTGTCCTCTATTCTGTACCATTGGTCCACCCGCCTGTTTTGGTACCAGTACCATGCTGTTTTTGTTACTATTGCTCTGTAGTATAGTTTGAAGTCTGGTATCGCTATACCGCCTGATTCACACTTCCTGCTTAGCATTGTTTTTGCTATTCTGGGTCTTTTATTTTTCCATATGAATTTCATGATTGCTTTCTCTATTTCTACAAGAAATGCCGTTGGGATTTTGATTGGGATTGCATTAAACCTATAGAGAACTTTTGGTAATATCGCCATTTTGATGATGTTAGTTCTGCCTATCCATGAACAGGGTATATTTTTCCATCTTCTAAGATCTTCTTCTATTTCTCTCTTTAGGGTTCTGTAGTTTTCATTATATAAGTCTTTCACCTCTTTTGTTAGGTTGATTCCCAAGTATTTTATTTTTTTTTTTGAGGATATTGTGAATGGAGTGGTGGTCCTCATTTCCATTTCAGAGGATTTGTCGCTGATATACAGGAATGCCTTTGATTTATGTGTGTTGATTTTATAGCCTGCCACTTTGCTGAATTCATTTATTAGCTCTAATAGTTTCTTTGTAGACCCTTTTGGGTCTGCTAGGTATAGAATTGTGTCTTCTGCAAATAGTGATAATTTAAGTTCTTCTTTTCCTATTTTTGTGCCTTTAATTTCTTTCGTCTGTCTAATTGCTCTGGCCAGTGTTTCGAGAACTATGTTGAACAGAAGTGGTGAGAGAGGGCATCCCTGTCTTGTTCCAGATTTTAGAGGGAATGCCTTCAGTTTTTCTCCATTCAGAATGATGCTAGCCTGAGGCTTAGCATAGATTGGTTTTACAATATTGAGGTATGTTCCTGTTATCCCTAGTTTTTCTAGAGTTTTGAACATAAAGGGATGCCGTACTTTGTCGAATGCTTTTTCCGCATCTATCGAGATGATCATATGGTTCTTATTTTTAAGTCTATTGATGTGGTGAATAACATTTATTGATTTCCGTATATTGAACCAGCCTTGCATCCCAGGGATGAATCCTACTTGATCATGGTGCACAATTTTTTTGATATGTTTTTGTATCCGATTCGCCAGAATTTTATTGAGGATTTTTGCATCTAGGTTCATTAGAGATATTGGTCTGTAGTTTTCTTTCTTTGAAGTGTCTTTGTCTGGTTTAGGAATCAGGGTGATGTTGGCCTCGTAGAATGAATTTGGAAGTTCTCCCTCTTTTTCTATTTCCTGAAGTAGCTTGAAAAATATTGGTATTAGTTCCATAAATCAGTTTTATGCTTGACTCAGGCATCTGGGAGGCAGCTGAAAGGTCACAGGGAGGTTTATGGGAAACAGTTTTTACAGGAAAAACTGGGTGTAGGCGGGTCGTTTATTTTTTTGTTCAAGGATCGATGAGTGCATATCCTTGCTCATGGCTCTGCCATTTTTCTGTGTGTTAATCCAGGAGAAATTTGACTTCAGAGAATAAAAAGAGGTCGTCCACAATTGACTTTAAGCAGCAAACAGTAAAGCATTGGGTTCTTGAGCTCCACCTTTCTTGTAAGTTCATTATTTATTCCCAGTGGTTGTGACAATTAGTTTAACTCCTTTGACTTATTTCCATCAATTTGGAACCCTAAAACCCAATGAACTTTCTGTTTACCCACATATGTATGTATCTCCCTCTAACATAAAGACACCATTATGGTGAAAACTGATTTCCTTCAGCTGAAGTTATTTGCTATTTATAAAAATTCTTTGAGGTATATTTTATATCATTGGCAATTCTTAATATATATTGTCCTTCTAGGCTCCGAGAATTGGAAAACCAAAAGGTTTTGAAGTTTTGTGTGATGCCACCTGAATTGGAAACCAAGATGAACATAACTGAAGGAGGTGTGTTGCTGTTTTCAGCAAATTCTAATTCATCATGTATGGAGCTTTCAAAGAAAATTGCTGAGTGAGTTATAATTTTACCATTAAATTCTAGATGGATTATGTGATATAAATTTGACAATCAGATATGCAGTGATTGTCAAGCTTGAACACAGTTAAGTTGTAGTTCATTTCTGTATGATTCACATAAATTAAAGGCTAACCTTTAGATAAACTGTCCCACCTCCCTACATAGTCATCCAGCACACATTGATAAGTGCCAGAGATTGTGTTAGGTGCTGTGTGTTCATAGAATGATTTTAGTATGATGAAAAGTGAAGTGTATTAGTAAATAAGAAGAGTTCACAGTTTGCACTTCAGTATAATTTTAGATAGCCATTTAATGAATATTAAACCTCTGCTCTGTATTGGGGGTTAGCAGGGAGCAGGCCAATCAACTTTCTTCTTTCTTACAAAGTTTACATTTACATTTCAGCTGCCTCCCAGATGCCTGAGTTATGCATAAAACATAAGTGTACAGTTTTGAGAATGCACTTAATACCTAAAAACGGAATCTTTTAAAATTGAAGAGAATCTTCAATTTTAAAAGAAGCTCATTTTAACAAAATATAAATATTTAAGATAAAAATAAAAATAAAAGAAATGTCAGTAGAGGGTAAAAGCAGCTCTGGGGTGCAAACAGTTGTAAAGGTGTGCTCCATGGGTGTTGCTGGAGAGGGGCCCCTAGGAGCTGCTGGCCTGGAGCTGCCATTGCAGGTGTTTCCAGCTCTAGCTCTCTCTCAGGTGGTGGAGGTCCTGGAAGTTGAGCAGGAGTCTCCAGAAGCACCAGAGGAGGCCCTGCACATGCCAGAGTAAAGGTTGCCAACTATCCCTGTTCCTCCCAGGGACAAAATACTTCCCACTGCCTTTCACAGAGCTCCACCTAGGAACCCAATCTTGGAAGAGTTTCCAAAATGCATGCAGACAAAGCCAGCTCTGCTTCTCATTGTTTTTGCCCTGCTGTGTTTCTGGAAGATCTGCTCTGCTAGTCCAGCCCTGTTCCATCCCCATATGCTCATATTCCCCAAATGCAGACCTCCTCACCTTTGACCTCTTCCTCCGTCACTCTGAGTTTTCTGGTGGGACCCCCTGGCCTTTGTTGTTCATGTGGGGGCCTGTGACACTGACTTGGCTGTGGATATTACCAGATGAATGTTGAAGCAAATGCATATCAAGGAGGGAGGAGACCACCCTAGAAGGAGGGGTACAGTAGTATGAGAGGTCTGGTCTTTTCTATCATGAGTTTGGTTTTCTTGGCACCCCACTGTTCAGACTGACGCTCAGAGAGGTACAGGGCCAGTTCCAGGACTCACAGCTGTATGTAATGGTGTCACCCTGGGCATGGCTAACCTACCCAACACTAGGTCCAGCTCCTGCTGGGTGGAGAATCTCGAGATGGTAGACATGGAAGAGATAGTAAAGAAGAGATAGTATAGAAGACAAGTAAACCCACTGGATATCGTGACAAATTGCTGGTATCATCCACCTGTGTAGCCACCTCTCCCTTCTTGGGTGCGATACTGAGGAGATACAGAGTCAGTGCCAAACTGTGACCCACCTGAAGTGTCTGGGGATGGAATCCTGGGCAATATTGACAGCTCACAGGGGCTTGTCCCACAGAGGGATAGGAGAGGCCAGCAGAACAACCTTGGGCAAGTCATCATGTCTCTCAAGTCTTCCCCATTCTCCATCACACAGTGTGGAGATCTTAGCCTTTGTTTCCTAGTGATGTCACCAGGCGAATGTGAGATAGCACTTAGAAAACCTGCTGCCTCGTGTGTGTGATGCACAGAAGTAGAGATCAAATATAGGAACAGTTGGGATGTCACATGGTAGAGCTAAAAACAGACCTAACCTCCTTCCTTATGATACGAGTTCTCTTCATGATCTCTTAACATCTTTTCTTCATTTTGCTTTTACCTTTAGCATCAGGAATTTTAACATGTCATGGAATGATGTGAAAGAAAAACTCCATTAAATGTATATTTGGGCATTCATTTCAAAGTATATCTGGAGAGCAGATGTAAAGGAATTATAATTTATTTCATTTTGATGTATGGATATAGTGCCACAGTCTATAGCACATAAATATTTCCAGAGGGCTTGGTTCACATTTGGAATTTCTATGCTAGTACATACTATTCCTGTATTTTATGGTGACATAAGGGACAAATTAATGTATTTATATTCTGCCAGGTTTCATAGAATTTTATTAGAGCCTAGCACTTTTAAAATCCCATGTTTCTTTGAGTGCATAATAATATGTCTAAATAAAGCTACTTCAAAAAGATAAACAAAGTTAAAATTTTGTTATCTGGGTGAATAATAAAAAAGACTCAGATTACTAAAATCAGAAATTAAAATATTAATTTTAATGTAAATATTAATGTAAAACTGTCAGTCTTACATTAATTATAAAATGTAATCAGGCTCAATGGTGCACACCTGTAGTCATGGTTACTCCAGAATCAAAGGCAGGAAGATCAGTTGAGCCAGGAGTTCAAGGTCAGTGTATTTATTATCACTGAACTGCACCCTTAGAAATGGTAATGATGGTTAAATTTTAAAATAAGAAAATTTTGGTAAGTAAAAGTCTTGGAACATACACTTGATCCTGAAAGCTCTGCAGTTTTAGAGTTGACCCTAAGTGTTTGGTTTTAGCATAAGCCCATTCTCCATATTCTTAAAAGCTTTGCACCTTGCAATAGTAGCCCCTTGTCATCATGTTCAAAGAGCCACACATCTTCTGAGCTCTGTATTTTGTGGTTGAATTGTGAGGTTTTAGAAACACAGGTGTCATCACTTTCCTTCTTTTGAAAGCCTGTTCCCTATCGTCCATGTGCAGTCAGCTTGATGGGAGCCTCGAGAAGCCAGGAGACATGGAAATGTTTGTAATAAGAGAGGCTTATGTATATGAAATCATGTCATCTGCAGACACGGGTAATTAGACCTAGTTCTAACTAGTTATACATGACAAGAGAATGCATTTTGATTCATTGTACACAAATGAAGCACAGCAGTGCATTTCTCTGGTTGTCCATAAAGTAGAATCACACTATTTGTGCAGTACACCATTCCTGAACTTGTACATGTACCTAGGATAGTGATATCCATCTCTTTCCACTATCTTTCCTACCCCATGCCCTCTCCCGTCCCCTCATTGTCCTCTGCCCAATCCAAAGTTCCTCAGTTCTTCCCATACCCACCCCCCACCATTATGGACCAGCATCTACATATCAGAGAAAACATTTACCCTTTGGTTTTGGGGGGTTGGCTTATTTTGCTTAACGTGAAATTCTCCAGCTTCATCCATTAACTGTAGATGTATGGCCAGTACTTCTAATAGTATATTAAGCGAGAGTTTTTTTCTTGTTCCTGATCTTACAGAAAATGGTTTCACCTCTTCACTTTTCAGTGTGATGTTGTTTGGGGTTTGTAATTCATTGCCTTTATTTGGTTGAGGCACATTTCTCTTATTTCTAATTTTTGAGGGTTTTCATTATAAAGGGAAGTAGAATTTTACCGAATGGTTATTCTCTAATGATTTCAATGGAGTTGTGATTTTTAGTTTGGATTTCTTTACTGCAGCATATCACCTTTTTGTATTTACAGAGGTTGAAACATCGTTGTCTCCCTGGGATGAATCTCTTTTGATGGTGGTGAATGATTTCTTTGGTATGCTATTGGATTAGGTTTGGGAGCATTCTGTTGAATATTTATGCAACTGTGTTCATCAGGTATATTAGGTCTGTTGTAGTTTTTGGCTGTGGCATCAGAATAGTTCTGTGCTCAGAAGATGAATTTGGAAAGATTTCCTCTTCTTCAGTATTTTAGAAGAATTTGAAAAGGCTTTGTGCTCTTTGTTTCCTTTTTAGTTTTTTTCACACATAGGGATTAAACCTTGGCCTTAGCCATGCAAGGCCAGCACATTACCACTGAGCTACTGCCCTTGCCCTGAATACTTCTTTAAAGAGTTGTTAGAATTCAGCACACAAGCCATCAAGTCTTGACTTCTTCTTTACTAGGATACTCTTCATTATTTATTCAGCATCTTTACTCACCATTGCAACAAGATTTTCCATTTCTTCATAATTTCTCCTTGGTAGATTGCATGTGTTAAGGTATGTATCCTGCTAGATTATTGAACTTGCTGGCATATGGTAGTGGTCTCTTCACAGGAGTTTCTTATGATTCTGTTTCTTTTGTGTCAGTTGCAGTGTCTCCTATTTCATTTCTCATTTCATTTGAGTCTTCCTTTTTTCCCCTTTATTTAGCTAAGCATTTGCTGATTTTACTTCTAAACACCTGGTCTGAGTTTTGTTGATCTTTTTTATTATTCTGTAGTTTTAATTTCACTTATTTCTGCTCTGATATTTACTATTATTGTTTAAAATCAACTCTTGGTTTAGTTTGTTCCTCTTTAGTTCCTGGAGGTATTGCTTTAGCTTTTGTCATCTTTGATCTGTTCTGATGTGGGTGTTCACTGCTATAAACATCTCTCATTGAACTTCTTTTGCTGCACACTACAGGTTTTCATGCAGGGCAAAGGCACCAGGTAGGAGGCTAAGTGCTGGACCCTGCCCTTCCTTGGTGGGTTTCTCAATTGTTGGGGCTTTTGGGGGGACCAACAGGTTGGGTGAGGCCAGGGCCACAGAAAGTAATTATGTTGAGCTTTCTGACAAAGTTTCTGTTTTCTGTCTGAGAAACAACATTCTGAACCCATCTTGGCCTGGCTTGAACAGCCCAGGCTTTAATATTTTGAATTAATTGAAGGTGGAATCTAAATCTGTTTTTCAACATATGCACCAGCAGAAACTCCAGAATGCCTTCCTCCATCACCAGAGCAGCTGGCCCCAGATGGTCTCAGGTGTTCATGTTTCCTCTTGGTCAATTCTAAGTATTAGAGTTATGGATGTTAGGAAGTAGGACTTTCAAAATATTAGAATCCATTTAAGTAAAGCTTAATGACAGAAAATAATTTGCAAAACACTTACATCGACAAGTACAATAACAAATGCCTGTATG